TTAAACTGCAATGTTGGGATTTAGTTTCTACTTGGATCAATCACTTCAAACTGATTTGCTCTTTATGATACTTTTGAAAAACCTTTCTGAAAGAAAAAGGAATTTTCTCTAATAGTAGAACAAGAGGAAAGAAAGGCTGTGCTTTTATTGCGCAAATGGGTGCACTCACACGAAGACACAAAAGAACCCTTGTCTAAAAATGGATTTATTTACATTCCTCTTTCTTGATACGACCATTCCTCAGATTATTCCTTTTTACTAATATCGAAAAGCATGAAAATCAAAGTAAAAAAAAAAGGTTAGCCTCTGCCAATACTTCAAAGGTTTATTGCTATTTACCCAACAAGAAATCCGAAGAATAGATATCATTAATTCATGAAAATATATTAAATTGCTTCAGAAAAATTTGGGCCATTATGGTGTAACACATTAGCCTAACCCTTCCTGACTTTCCTAGTTCCTAAGACCATATTAAATAAACGCAATTGCTGCGTTTCTGAAACTTTCAAAATAGCATAACAACTATTTCAATCCATAGCCTGTTGTCAGAACGATAGGTTGCTAATTTTCCTAATTCAAATAAGTGATTGCCTAAATGAGTGCTTCAAGCAGGTAGAATAATTTGATACATCTTTCAAAGGCTAATGTCAAAGTCATCTATTAAGAACAACAGAATTACTGAACGTCCATCGCAAACGTTTACAATATATTGAACCCTCGCTCAGAGCTACAGCACGACTCCTCGGCTTTCCGTTATTGTTGTGATCGCCACTTATCAACTCTTGGTAAATAACCATGGGATGCATAGCTCTGCCAATTATGAAATCTATATACTATTATTGATCTTTAAAGCAAAGTCGGAGAGCTTGTTTTGTTCCGGAACTATCACACTTCCCCCTTCCTTTTTAATGAAAATCTGTGCCAAATTTCAAGTAAGTTGCATTACGAAGAAAGTACATTTTTTAAGTCGTATTTTACAAACTTTTCTTCGTGTGCTCGATGTTAAATTCCTTTACCCTCAGTTTTCATGCCACACAGGTCGCAGTGATTACAAACGGTACTATGTAGGCGGAACATAAAATCTCTCGGCAAATTGCGCACTTCTTGATTAAATCTATAATAGCACCTCGTTTCACACCTGTATTAAAAACAAAGTGCAAAGTGAGAGTTTCTATGATATCAGTCATACTACGATTTAAATTAACTTAATACTTGAAAGACATTTCAAAACGAGGAGAGTTCTACTTCAAGGTTGTTCCTATGTTGACTTTGTTTATTCAGTTTATATGTTTCCACTCATTTACAAATTTATCACTAAAATGATTCAATGACATCCTCGACATTCCAAGGAATAGAAAAAATTCGAATGTCACATTTGTCCCTAATCAAACAGACCGGACAAGTGTGTTGGCAAACGATCGACCAAGCGACCACAAAAACTCCCTTAGAAGACCTCCATTATAAAAACACGAAAAAGAGGCTTCACTATCTTGTCCTTCCACGTGCAGTTCCAGCTTTTCCTTCAAAAATTTCGAGCATTAAAGAATTAAGTTCTTTTTCTCGACGCCGTGTGTCCAACCAATGAAAAGGTAATTTAGTGTTAAAAACTGAGTTGAAAGCTTAAATTTCCACCGTAATGAGTTAAAAAGCTGACCTTTCGAGCGTTATCCCTTCGTCTATCGCTCAGACGACGGGCTAACGCTCGAAAGGTCACCTTTTTTCACTTTTTACGGTGGCCAATTTACGTTTTCAACTCAGTTGTTAACACTAAATTACCTTTCGTTGAGTTTCTTCAACCGTTGTAAACCTTGGTTCAAAATCATTAAAAAGAAGAAGGAAAAATGGATGAAAGCTAACGTATATTTTGCTGCAAATTCCATCATTACCATGTAGAAGGTTAACTTCCTTCAAGACATAACAGCCTGAGTTTATGATCTCCTGTTTATTTTCCGTCATATTCAGTTACTTAATATGCTGTGTAATTTCATAATGTACATACTAACTTAACCAAATTTGTATTAACCCATGTTTACTAAGCCAGGTTCATTTTAAAACATATGCTTGTTGCAAAAATGTAGGGCGACACAAGAAGACTATCTTTCTTA